CGGATTAGTTATTTGCATATCAATATGATCAACACAGGGTCACACTACCACTTGAGAAAACAATCGATTTTGGTATTTTTATCTGTCATTTTTACCAAATAACGGTGCGTCGATAAACAGGCTTAAACATTTTTTCACTCAGTGGTTAGTTTCCCGCTCTTGTTTATTTCACGGATTAGTCATTTGCATGTCAATATGCCCGACACAAGGTCACGCTACCACTTTGAAGACGATAGATTTCGGTATTTTTATCTGTCGTTTTTACCATGAACGGTGCGTTGGTGAACAGGCTTGACAATCATTCCCGTAACTTTTCGACGTTTCGACGTTTTTTTTTTTTTAAATACGAGGTTTCTAAACAAAACGTAGGCTTAGTGTGTTCGAATTAACTTCAAATTGACACAGCTTACATAGCTATGCGGTGACAACAAGAGACATATAACAACCTATAAACAATAAGCACTGGTGACACAGACATGTTTTTCGTGATGTTATAACGCAATGAGATGCGGGTGCACATGAACAAAGGATAATGAAAATGATAATCAATGTGATAATGAAGGCCAGCAATTATGGCATAAATACCTAAAAGATAAAAAAATTAAGTTCAAAAGATTATCAAACAAAACCAAATTGAAAGGTATAATATATTGGTCAGTTCTCAATGGTCTTACAAATGTATTGTTCATTAGCTTGTGCTTGACCAGTAAATTAATCTTGTGCTAAGAAAGGATGAGGTTAAAAGTGTATAAATCAAGTATTGGGAAATCTTGGGAGAACGTAGCCAAATATTACATCGAGATGAAGAAAGAAACCATTTTGAAATAAAAAGTAATTGACTCTGTAGTTGAATATGATCAAGTTCCAAGCAACAACAACAAATGTAACAAATGATCAAGTTTCAAAAATAATTTCTAATTTAAACAATAACAAAGCTGCTGGTCCGGGTGATATCACACATGAAATTATTAAGGGTGGGGACAAGTTACCATTGAGTCGCTGAAGATAATGTTTAATGAATTTCTTCATCTTGAAGTAGTACCAGTTGATTGGTGGAAAGATATTATAATACTATTGCATAAAAAAGGGATAAGAAAAAAATAAATAACTACAGATGTATATAATTAAGTTCAGTTGTAGGAAAATTATATAATAAAATACTTGAAAAAGAATTGAGTACCTTGGTAGAAAACAATACTGGGTTAAATTCTGAGTGGAGTTAGAAAGTACAGGGGCACCACAGGCCAAATATTTATTCTACAAGGAATAGCTGCAACAAGCGAATCCAAAAATAAAAATATTTATTTCGCATTTTTGGATTTCAAAAAAGCATATGACATATTCACGGAAAATTGTCAAGAGTAATACAACAGACATATTACCACATAGAAAGTAAGATATCATTTGGTGATATCGACACTGATTACTGTTCACAGAACGAGGGTTTGAAACAGAGATGTGTTCTGGCTCCATTATTATTTTCACTTTTACATTAATGAATTCAAACAAATGCTTGATGAATCTTTTGCACCTATTGAAAGTCAGCTGATAGCAATGCTAAACAATATAAACAAATATTGTAGATTATGGAAAATGGTAGTTAATGAGGGCTAGTGTCCTAATTACAAACGAAAATTACAAACACAAATTACAAACAAAAGAGTTGACAAACATAGAGAGTGGTCTATTGGAAAATCAAAAATATAAGAAACTACAATATATTTACAAATATTCAGGCTACTGGTTTACAAGTAACCGACCATACCCACTGTACAAAACTAATAGAAAATTGAATGCCTTATTTTCAGTTATGAAAGCAATACTTGGTGGTCATGGAAATATCAATCGATTAGACTATGGTTTTTCACTATGGAACCAGGTATTAAAGCCAACTTTAGAGTATGTTTGGTAAATCCTGATCTTGGGGAAAATATTGAGAGTTTAGAAAAAATGCAGCGTACAGCGGGGAAATGTATTTTGGGTGATTGCAGAAATACTGCAAATGAGGCTGTCCTTAGTGATTTGGGGTTGTTCACAATGAGGTGTAGACTAGATATCATGAAACTAAAATATTACCAAAGATTGTGTGATATGCCAGATTCAAGATGGCTGAAAGTTATTTTAAATGTTTTGAATGATAAAAACGTGAAAACTAACAAAATACAACTTTCCGAATGTCTTGGAACTGCCCAAAATGTATTCATGATATCATAACAAGTTTTGATATTTAGGATATATTATTCTTTATATGAAGCAAATATATACAGCGAATTCGCCACTATTCATTCCAATAATTATGGTAATGACCACCATCATTCACCATCGTGATATTGCCTTCACAAACATGTGTTACTATTTTAATATTCAGAGTGTGTATTTATTTGAACCCGGGTTCACTAAATACAATCTATCATTCTTCAACAACATTAATCGCGCGATGATATTGAAACACGTGCAAAGTAGCATATATACAATCCATATATATACATTTATAAAGTGATTTAATGGCGAGCAACTCATAACAGATGATGTCCATCAATTGAAAACGTCGTTAACATGTAAAACAAGTATAAACAACACTCCATAATCAATGCGTGATTTAGCAAACTCTTTCACTACGCATGATTTGAACTCTCACACTATGTGAGAGTTCCAGGTGATTATGAATCAGAATCTTCTTCCTTGAATAAAAGTCACTGCAGTGAAATTGATTGAATGAACTATAAAAGTAAATAAAATATTGAAAACATAAACGGGGTTGGTAAATTTTTAGCAGGGCAGGTATGTTTTTAAAGTTACTGCCCTGTTGTCTGGTAAACTATTTTGACAAATTTTAAACACAGATTTTTTTTTTGTCTTGGGCCTTATTTTTTCGGAAAGGCATTCACATGTTGCCTTAAATGTCGTTTTTTGGGGAGGTCGTAACTGCCGTGCCGATAGCTTGTTGGTCGCAATTACCGTAGCTATCGCCATGGTAATTCAGATAACTAAAATGTTCGTCGTGATATTCACGGGCATTACGTTGCGTTTTTAAGTCACGTGCCAATGAATTGCATTTGTTTGGAGTCCTTAAAATTTCTTTCAACCACTGCTCATTAAACCCGTAATTAGCGTAACAAGGTTTTTGTCTCTGTTCGCATATTTCCTCGCCAGAATGAATTACATCACTAATATTAGTTCCCCATGAATCTGTAATCAAATAATATTAACAGTGTCACTATCCTATTTTCAAACTGCATTAATTTTTTTTGTAACTTTACATTTACGAAACATTTATGTACGTCAGCTAAGAAACACGATTGCGTGCCAGGTTATCACGTGTCTGTTTTTTACTATTTTCATTGGTCCGCTTTACATTTTACATCACGTGACAGAAACCAGTTTCCATTGGTGTGACTATCACTTTTTATTGAAATCGCTGCCTTTGATTGGTACACGAAAATGCCGATTCCTCATTTGCTACGACGGTGATAAAACGCGAATTTCTGTAATGTTTTGTTGCATTCGACTTATATTAATATCAAATGGATGCACGTCACATTACTCTTTATTTAGTTACTGTCTTTTTCTAAGCGAAGCTTCTGCAAACAGTCTTAAGAGATTTTCTCTTTTGAAATCTACGTTCCTTTAAACACCGACTGCGGAGCAGTATCAAGTCATTTCAGGTAAGTTGTCATCCTTTATCACATACAAGTTTTTACCTACGTATAGAATTTAATCCTAAAGACTCTGGAATTGTTATCTCTTTAAGTAAAAATAAAAATCTTCACACATAAACTCATTTCTGTTTTTATTTCATACGCTTTTACTGTCAGTGTTTATCTTCACAGGTTGCTGGCAGAATAACGACATTCACTAATAGCTACGTATAAATATCTTATACGCCTTGCATTTCTCATTTAGTGGGTATGATTTATACATCTCATTACTTATATCATATACTTTGTATCATGCATGTTAATGTATTAATATTTAAATGCAACTCATTCATGAAAAATAAACAATGTATTTGCATGCTCACCTTATCTACTTGTAACTTTATCATGCATTAAACTACAGCAACATTCTTACTACAATTAACCTCCAAGTACCCCATGTTTTGTCATTTGAAATAAAAAATTAACATATATAACTTAATAAATTTGTCGTCCATTCCATTTTAACATTTCAACCCACGTGTTGTGATATGGATTTGTGAACTGACCACTCATTAACCGGGGATTATTTTCAACAAAAACTTGATATAAATACTAAATGTGTATATGTTGAGACTTAATCATATCTATTGAATTTTACATTACGCCGCAGCTTTTACAGCTGTGAACCTTCTAATCAAACTGGAACGCCTTCCCCCATTTCTCAATTTATCAAGAAAATTTCACATTTTTGTCGCATACAACTTGTTTACCACTTCCGTGTCACTGAGAATGTTCTAGAACCGTACTGTGTCTGGGTGGAATTTTTAGAAGCTGGTTGAATAGGTAATAGAACACTGTAGAAGGCAATAGAAGGTAATGGGACATTCTAGAAATTTGTAGTAAATTCCAGATTCATTATGTATGCTGATGTAATGGTCTATTCATAGACAGTGTGGGTATATATAGGGGAGTTGTTCAGCACTGCGATCAGATCAGAGATCTCGTTGAATTTTATTGGAGTTTAAGTATCTAGTTATTGGAGTAGTGGAGTTTTACCGCGTTATTGTACTTGATGTTTGCAGAGTATAATACCAGTACCAGTTGAAACCTCATCTGTTCGTATTCGTGTTCATGCTCCGTGTTCGTATGTTATCATCGCCGCCAGGGAAGTCTTTTTGTTACTGTTGCCATTTTGGTATTTGAACCATCACACCTGTACTATACCAATTACGGTAATATTACGTTGCGTGTGACATCTGGGGGCTCGTCCGGGAACAGTGAAGACATATAGAAGACAACATGGCCAGCGAGATGAAAGATATGTCGAAACAAGAGTTGATGGAATGGGCGGATGAACTGGGAATGACTGGAGAAGACAAAAGGGCTGACAGACAAGCCGCGAGGGAAGAGAGAAGGGCAAAAATGGAAATAGAAGCAGAGGTGAGAAAAATGGAGATTGAGGAAAGAAAGGAAAAATTACGGCTGGAAGCGGAAGCAGGTGAAAGAAAGAAATTGCGAATGGAAGCAGAACAGCGAGAAAAGGAAAGGGAAGCAGAGGTAAGGAAAATGGAGATTGACGAAAAAAAATAAAAGTTACCACTGGAAGCGGAAGAAAAGGAAAGAGAATTTGAGTTGAGGAAATTAGAGCTGCAAGCAGCAATGCCGGGGTTCCAACAGGCTGATTTTGGCGGTCAACAAAATGTGGTCAGTGATGCATAGTCACCAAAGTTTCCTGCATTTGTTGATGGTAAGGACGAACTTGATAGTTATTTATTGCGGTTTGTGAGGTTTGCAACGAATGCGAGTTGGCATAGAAATGGATGGACCACAAAATTGAGTGCGCTATTGACTGGTAAAGCACTGGAAGTATATTCCAGGATGTCCGACACTGATGCAGTTGACGATGATCGTGTGAAGGTGGCGCTGTTGACAAGATACGAAATTAAACCTGAAAGTTCCGAGAGTCCTGACCAGTTAATTGTGCGACTTAAGAATTATTTTGCTAAATGGGTTGAGTTGTCAGGCACTGCAGCAACATATGATGGTGTTACCGACTTGATGGTGAAGGAGCAGTTTAT